GAGAGAGAGAGAGAGAGAGAGAGTGAAGAGGAAAGAAATGTACGGATGGAAGAAAAGTACGATTGCTATAATTAGTTTAGGAATTTTTTAACAAGAAGATAGTGTAAGAGAGAAGGAGGAAGAAAAAGGTCATAGTTTCTGTACTTTATAAACGTTGAATGACTTTCGAAGCAAATGGAGAAGCGCATCGTTACTCCTCCTCGTCGTCTGTTTCACCGTCTAATGGACGTATGGATGGATACTCTGGCGCTCGTGCAAATGTATAAGCGCATCTACCCAAGTACCTAACTATGCCACTTAAGACTCCTCCTCCTCCTCCTCCTCCTCCTCCTCTTCCTCCTTCATCACCCCTCCATCGTATCTCTGAATCTTTCTCTCTTATGCTACCCGATTTTCCCGTTCTCTCTCTCTCTCTTTCTCTCTCAATGTAGCTGCGTTCTCTTTTCATTTTCAACCCAACCATCCTTGGCTTCCGAAATTAGAAAACTTTTTATGTACGCCAATTTTTAACCAGCGCACGCTCTTCAGTGGTAATTACTTTTTAAGCTTCTCCTTTGCATATTATCTTCGGTGGTGGTGGTGGTGGTCGTCGGTGGTCGTCGTCGTCGTCGTCGTCGTCGCCGAGATGGCGGCGAGCATGTTGTAATTTAAAATTTGTATCCTTCGAGAATCACTCTTTAAATATCTGTCGACGTTGAACGATATAACCAAAATCCTTATATTATTTTCTTTATTTAAGTTCTGTTTTTCTTGATAGTAACCTTTGCCAAACTGGTGTTCTTGCTTTCTTCTTGGATTCAAACTCTACTCGTGGAACCTCCGATAGTCATGAATTTCCTTATTTCGTGAAAACTCGTCCTTGTTCTCTCTCTCTTTCTCTTTCTTTCTTTCTTTCTTTCTCTTTCTCTTACTTTACGTTAAAACTCCTTCTACGAGGATGGTTTTTGTAAGCGGTACTCAGTATCTCCCTGGCAATACATACTATACCGTCGTTACTGCCGGCGCCGCCATCGCTTTTTAGTCTGAGAACATTTCAGCCACTATTACGTAATTATTCTTCGCACGGCGAACGTTTTGTTCGGTCGTCGTGGAGGAGGACGCCAGGGACGACGTCGTCTCCTGCCGTCTCTCTCTCTCTCTCTCTCTCTCTCTCTCTCTCTCTCTCTCTCTCATTTCTTTATTTCTTCCTTTTCTCCCTTTTTATTTTCTTGCCACCCACCCTACCTACCTACCTACCTACCTCCCTCCCTCCCTCCCACCCAGCAGCCCACTCCTTCTCTTCTTCCTCCGGTCCCTTTTTCTGCTCCAGAGATCTTCCTGTTTTCGCCGGGGGAACGGGAAATACATCTGCTAATTTGCATAGTAAATTTGCGTAGCGCACCGTAACGTTTCCGAAGCGCCGCTACGGTCTCTTTCGCTCGGACGACGAGAGAAAAGAGGTTGGATGAGTAGGATGAGAGAAAAGAGAATGTTGTTACCAAAGAGTAAGAGAAAGAGAGTGAGAGAGATAGAGAGTGAGAGTGAAAGACAGAGGGTTAAGGATAGGGGAAGGGAAAGGGGTAGAATTGAAGTAAAAGAAAAAGATAAGGAACAGAAAGAAGAATTCTTCTTCTCTTTCTGTTCTGCGGACTGTTCGGTTCCGCACGGTACCACTTTGTAACGCAGCGTGTGTCTCCGGTAAGAAGAAGAAGAAGAAGAAGAAGAAGGAGAAGAAGATAAAGGTACGATCGTGTATATGCTTGGCGAACATCGATAAAACGCGCGCCGATTTACAAACAATGAAATATCGATGCTATCTCACTAAGAGACGTTGGTAACCTTCCTTCGTCTTTTCGATCGTTCCTATCCTTCTTCTTATTCTTATTCCCTTTTTTACCCTTTCCATTTTATTCTTTTTTTTTTTTTTATTTGTATTCTTATTCTTATTCTCCATTCTCTAACTTCATCCCATTTATTCTTTTACCTCTTCCGTTCGACCATTCCAACCAAATGACTCGGACTCACCGAACGTCGATTGAATTCTTCGTATTACTTCATTACGCGATTATTGCTGCATCAATATGTTTGTGTCCGTTTGAATGAATTTAAATTACGTATAGTTTTGTTGTTGTTGTATTTATGAATTCATTAATAATGATGTTTAACTCGTCGTCATTTTATTTTTATCGATGATACGACGACAACGACGACGACGACGACTTATCGACGCCATTTATACTATTTTGCGAAAAGTTTTACGTTTAAAATGTGAGCTTTATTTTTCTTTTTATTCTTCTTTCTATTGCCACCTACTTGTTCGAGAAAGATACGCGAGAATAGAAAATGATAAAAATTGAAAGGAATAAAAAAAGAAAAAAGAAAAGGCTCGAGAATATTGCCCAGAGAAAAAAAAAAAAGCTTCAAGATATCATCCTTCCTGTCTCTCGAATTATCGTCGAACACGGCGGCGGCGCCATTGAATCGACGCATCGAAGCACGAAGACGAATCAGTGTGGGTATAGATATCTACCTACGTGTTTCACTGTGATATATACGTATGCGTATATATATATATGTATATTAGTTATACGTGTATATAAGTGTAACACACACGGTTGGTCGTTTCGAGGGCCTTCCACTTCCGTGTCATTTCGCGACAGTAACCACGAGCCGTCCATTATGAAACCGGAAGCGTCTGATTACGTTGCTACCACAGTGTTCACTCCTCCCCTCTCCTACTTTCAAACCCTCGTCCACCTACTTTGGATTTATTTTTTCTAATTGGTTAATTGGTGGTGACTGCTACCGCGTATTTTCACAAAGAAAAAGATCCGAATAATGGAATTGTTACGAATGTGGGATAGAATGTGGGGTTATCTTTGATATAATCTTTTTTTATTTATTAATTTAAACCTTCACGTTAAATGAATATCTAAATGATTTTTAAATATAATTAATTAAATAAATAGATTTAAATATAGAATTAATACAATGATAGATATTACTTTTAGTTCAATCTAACGATTAATGTTTATTTTTTATTGTTACAGGTAAGTTCCTGAAAAAGAAAATGAACACACTTATGGTGATCATGTGGGAGGAAGGAAACGACGGAACATCCGAACAACAGGTCGTATAACCGAGAAAATAGGAGCTCAATTGGCGCGGAAACTGGCTCGCTTAAGTCGAGCCAAATCGCGTAAACAGGGAGTATAAAAAAGATAGTAGAACCGGGGAGTTGATTAGAAAGGCCGCGACCAGGGTTTTACAAGGGTGGATTTCTGAAACGACATACCTACGCTTCGGGGGGTTGGCGGGGACGGGGACGGGGGGATGGATAGAGGGGCTGGGTGTGCTGCTGGTGAAACGAGCGAAAAGTCGTTAACGACGGTTTAAGCTCGCGACTGAATAATAGATCGTATAAGTTCCTCCCTCGGTTTTAAGTAACGCGAAGTAACGCTCTCTTTGCCATAGGGGCAAGAAGGGTACTCTCCTTTATTACATATTTTTATATTTGATATTTTTAGAAATATTTTAGCTTTTTTCTTCTTTTTTTTTAAATACTGTTAAAGAACAAGAAAACGTAAACGATTTTCGATTATTTCAATGAAATCGAATTAACATATCTATAATGAAATAATAATTTCTTCGTTATACGGGATTTAATTAATATACATATATATATATATAGGAAAAAATTATTTAAACATTTTTCTTATTCTTTTTTCTGAATAATATTAATAAGAAAAAAAGAGAAATTACGTATTGTCGAGAATTTCAACAATTCTAAAGCATAAACACTATCACCAAATTCACGTTGTTTTCGCTCGATAAGAGATCTTTTCGGTAAGAATATCTCCAGTGGATTATCTCGATGCGAAAGCTCATAATTGCTAATAGCTCGAACTAACCGGCTCTCTCTTCTCTCTCTCTCTCTCTCTCTCTCTCTTTCTCTCTCTCTCCGTCCCTCTTTCTCCTTGTACTCTTCCTCATCCTGTTGTTTCTCCTCTTCCTCCTCCTCCTCCTCCTCCACCTGCACACACTAGCTCGGTTCTCTCGCATTCTACCACCACGCACCACGTATATACGTCGTTACCTAAAGTTTCGCAATCAACGGTGCAACGAGCGTGCAACCTTGTTCTACCAACAATGTAGCTCGTCGTCGTCCGGGCAGCTGAAAGAAACGATAGCACGAAATTGCCAGGCGTTTTCGAAGCTCGCACACGAGCTCCATGGCTCACTGCGAAAAGTGAAAAAGAGAGAGAGAGATAGAGATAGAGATAGAGAGAGAAAGAACGTTTTATTAATAAGACAACGTTAGAAAATTCATCGACGTTAACGTACTTACATCATTTTACCACCGACATAATATTACATTAACTCTAGGTAACATTATTAGAGTCTTTCTACGTATTGGCGCGTTTCGCGAATGAAACCATTTAAATATAGAACGATCGAGAGTTAAATTTATGCATCGGCGTCGATCTGTTCTATCTATTTAGTTAGCTAGCTATTCTATCTATCTATTCAATGTCTTTCTATATTTTTCTAATTTTTTTCATGTTTCGATATTAAAAAAAAGAATAGTTTCTTTAAAATCTCTTTTGCCTTTTTGTTTTCATTACGAATTCAATGTAATTATTATCTCTATCGATAATTTTAATTCAATCGATTTTTGATATTTAATTTCTTTCCAATCTACCGAACGTGGCATTTTGAAAATAATTACGAGTCGTGAAAGATCAATTGACGCGATCTCGAAGTTTTATTCTTTTTCTTTTTTTTTTTTTAAATCAAATAAGAATAATTATATATGGAAAATATATAATACGAGATAGAAAAAGAAACAGAGAGACTGATAGAGTGAAAGGGTAAAAATAGGAAGGAGGGTTTAGGGGGGGTATAATTCTCTTTAATAATCATCGCCAATGCAACAAACGATGCTCAAATAATTTTGATAAAACGACCAAGTGTCGCACGAGTACTCGAAAAGTTAGAGTGAGTGAATGAATGAATGTATGTGTATGTATGTGTGTGAAAGAGAAAGAGAGAGAAAGTGAGAGAGAGAGAGAGAGAGAGAGAGAGAGACGGAAAGAGAAGATTTTTGTAAAATTATCGTTATATTCGCGATGCTAAAGCGATGACAATTTTTGTTGAAAAATGTCTTCCAATTACGAGGAAGCGCGCGTGGCGAGCTTAAAAAAAAAAAAAAAACAGAAAAAAAAAACAGGAAAAAAACAGAAAAAAGAAAGAGAGAGAAACGAGAACGCGTGGTTTGAAGCACGCTCCTCGGCTGTTTGTTGAGTTTTAACGAGTCCTCGCGCAAAATTAACTTCGTTAGCGGTGCTTGCGCGTTAAGCACGCGAAAATTTCGTTTTGAAAAAGTATCGAAGTTAACTGTGAGTTTGGCAGCGAGAAAGCGAGAGAGAGAGAGAGAGAGAGAGAGAGAAATGGCTGACAGACAGACTGACAGACAGACTGACTGATCCTTGTCCACATTTCTCTTTTGTTGAACATCAAACGAAGTGAGTATTTGGTGTCATTAAAATTTAGGATTTCTCTCTCTCTTGCTCCTTTTTCTTCTTTCATTTCCTCTTTCAATTTCTTCTTCTTTTTCTTCTTCTTCTTCTTCTTTATTTTCTTCAAAAATCGAGGAGGAAACGTCTAAACGCAAGACGAACTCCGACTTTCGAAGCGACGTGTCGCTATTCGTTGAAAACAACGAGCACACAGCTTTCAATAAGAAACTTTCGGTGTAAGGGTCCAGGTGCGCCGGCCGAACTTCCTTCTGTGGTGAGAAAGAAATAGAAAGAAAGAAAGAAAAGAAGGAAGGAAGGAAGGAAAGAAGAGACAGGGAGAGGGAAAGTGCTAGGCGCCAAGGGAATAAAAGTTTTGTTGGTTTTTAAACCAGTTCCGCGCTTTTTTTGAACACCTTTAAGACTACATGCTACAAATTTTCCACCTTTACTTTCCCTGCCCATCTCTTTTCTTTCTACCTTAGGCTATAACACCTTTTTCTACATTTTTTCTTCTTCTTTTTCTTCTCTCTCTCTCTCTCTTTCTCTTTCGTTTCGTTTTTTCCTATCTTTCATTCTTTGTCCGTTAAGTTTCTTTAACCAGTTTTTCTCTTTCTAACGCGTATCTCCATTAAATGAAATTGATACGAAATTTATCGACGAATAAATATATTTTTATTCAAGTTTGTGTTTATCGAGTGTCGTATTTTCTTCCAAATATTTTTACTCGATATTTATAATAAAATAACAATTATATATATTATTTACAATTTTCTTTCGTAATACCGCGTAACAAAATCTATTTACATTAATTGACTAATTTATTTCACATATGTAATTTTGTCCAGTTAAATAAGATTAATAATTAATATATTGTAATATCTAGAGTAGATTTATTTAAATGAATATTTTTGAAGTATCGTTATCTATTTTAAACGTTATCATTGTTTTTATCACGAGACAGAGTAATGACATGATCTCTCTCTCTCTCTCTCTCTCTTTCTCTTACTCTCTTTCCCTTTTCTATCTGTGAGTGAACACAAATGGAAGAACTCGCTCTAACTTTTGCCGTTTGAAAATGCCACGGGTAGTGCTTTTGCTGGTAGCGACGTTTTCGATTACGTTTTCCCTCGCGATTCTCCCTTTTCGTCGAGCGTACTCGGTTAACGCTCTCGGCTTTTTTACTTCCTTCGTTTTCGAGTCGTTTCGTCTCGACGCCCTTCGAGTCTCGTTCGAAATCCAACGACTTCGAGATCATCTCTACTATCGAACTTTGTCGAACAACAATCCCCCCACCCCCACTCTTGTCCTTTTTATATTTCTTTGCATTGTTTTTACTCTACGTTATCCGCAAAAAAAAATTAATTTCCAAAATATAATAATATTTTTAATAAAAGCAGACCTGTTTCTTTTTTTCTTTTCATATAAAAATTAAACAACTTGTTGACTCTTATATTGCATTCAGAAAAAGAAAAAAAGAAAAAAAGAAAAAAAGAAAAAGAAAACGATTATATAATAAGGAAATTTAGTTGCGCTATTAAAAGAAAAGCAACTCTTTTAAAAAAATTGCATTCTATTTTGTGGTATCGCACACAAAACACAATGCTTACTCTTCACGAAGAAGAAGAAGAAGAAGAAGAAGAGAAAAAAAGGCTCTTTTGTTCACGTCAATAATTCGCAATATGCAAGGATTTTCTTTCTTCTTTCTTTTCTTATTTTTTTCTCCCCTTTTTTGTTTTATCAACGACGATAGCTGAAAAGCAAGTACTCGCTTGCTTACTTGCTTGCTTGCTTGCTTGCTTGCCTACTTGCTTGCCTACTTGGTTGCTTGCTTACTTGCTTGCTTGCTTGCTTACTTGCTTACTTGCTTCTGGTCGCAAGGCAAAAGCTGCAAGAAAGGAACGTACTCGAGGAGTTCGTCGACGACTCATTAATGTTTTCGAAACTGGCATTAGCGTGCACTTAAGAGTCTTAAGATAACGTAGTTTGTGTGTAGGTAAGTTGAAGTTGTCGGGAAAACGCTCGTTCCAAGTACTCGTACGCTACTTCTCTAAATCTTTTTTTTTCTTTTTCTTTTTCTTTCTTTCCTCCATCCCCCTTTCCTTTTCTTTTCTTTTCTTTTCTTTCCCCTTTCCTTTTCATTTTTTTCTTTCGAACAATCTTTGCGCGAGAGAATGAGAAACTTCGATTATCGAGTACGATTTTGTGGGAAAAAAAAACAAACGAAGAAAATACTTATCACGTGTTGGTGAGATTAATGAAAGGTTAAGAGTAATAATCGAACTTTCGAACGGATCATTCAAGATTTATTATACCGAAATTAATCAATCGCAATCGTGTTATATAAATTATCCAACGATATATCGCACGTTTCTTAAAATTGATCAAAGTTTCATTTCGTTTACGTTATAAATTCATTTAGCGCGTTATTACTAATCAGAAAGCGTACTGAAATTCATGTTTTAACATTAACATATACATATGCGTACTTAAAATATTAAAATTCCATTCTCTAAATTCTATATAAACATTTTAATGATCGTATTATAACATATACTCATTTCATTGATAACATCTGATATTTAATATTCATACACATTTACATACCTACTTG